CACCGTGGAGTCGAGCAGCAGCGATGGCGAAGGAAATGGCAGAGACGGCAGCAAGCGCTGAGCGGAAGAGACGCGGTTGACGAGGCCAGTGCCGATGCCATCTCCCTCACTCTCATCCCCCTCTGCTTTGCCGCATGAAGGGGCCGCTCGGTAGATGTGGGGTCAGTAGCAGTAGGATGAGGGAGAGAGGTAGGCGGCAGTCTTCGGCTCCCCGACGCCTTCGTCGGCCAGGCCGCGCCAATCCCGTCGCATCACCGCCACCCATGGACTACATCGTCGATCGGGGGACCAACCCCAACAGCGTCACTATAGGGCGGGCCCACCCAACACAGGTCCCATCCTCTGCATCCCAAAGTCGTCGCCAACACACCGCCATCCAAATCCTGCCCTGACCTTGCCTCAGGCAGTGCGCCGCTCTGAATCCAACCCCGACAATAGGCCACCGCTTCCTCTGCAACCACAACATTCATCTCCCATAACCGTCACCGCTGTGGGGACGAGGCCCGCCCTGGACTCCGGTCACCAGCCTGCCCTTGTGCACCCACCGCCTTAGCAGCCGTAGGCAATGCACTCTCTGTCGTGCCCTTGCCGCCGGATGTCGTCGTTGCCAGCGCTGGGGCGGAAGGGGCCGAGAACCCTCGCCCTTCACCTGTCGTTCCCACTGCTGCATCAACCGCATGCGACACCCCTCCGCCAGATGCCGCCGCCGTCGCCAGTTACCGGAGCGAAGGGGCCAGGGTGGGGGAGATCCCTGTCGCTGCCGCTCCTCGTCTTGGTCTCGCCACCGTGCTCCAAGAAGAAGAAAGAAGGAAAGAGAGCGGGAGAGAGGGAGAGATTATTAGAGGAGGGAATGACATGTGGGGCTAGATTAACTTTTTTTAATTTATTTGATGAGTAGGCTGCCACATAGACGCCACGTCAGCGAAAACCACACTTAAAACAACCAAGGGAGTCGTTTTAGACGGTCTTAATACTTGAGGGAGTCATCACATCTGGTTTTGTGGTTTAGGGATACGAATTAGATTCAATGAATATTTAAGGGAGTCAAATTAGACTTTCTCCCCATTCGTTCTTTAGAATCGATTAGATGTGACGAGTGTTAACCGCATGTAGGCCCATTAAGTTATTTTCTTTTTCTAAAACATTTATGTAATCTATTATATTATTAAAGGAATAGAAAAAGGAGTCTCCACGTTCGCTCTCATGGTTTAGAAATTCTCACATTAATCGGAGAAAGAGAAAAAGCAGAGTCCATACAGAAATACAATTTAGAAATACGTGAAATTCGGAATTAAAAAATAAGGAATATTAGAAGAGGAGACTAGAGTCCACATAGAAATACAATTTAGAAATAGCTGAAATTCGGAATTAAAAAATAATGAATATTAGAAGAGGAGGCTAGAGTCCATATAGAAATACAATTAGGAAATACCTGAAATTCGCAATTAAAAAATAAGGAATATTAGAAGAGGAGACTAGAGTCCATATAGAAATACAATTAGGAAATAACTGAAATTCGGAATTAAAAATAACGAATATTAGAAGTAGAGTATAGAGTCCATATAGAAATACAATTAGGAAATAACTGCAATTCGGAATTAAAAATAAGGAATATTAGAAGTAGAGTATAGAGTCCATATAGAAATACAATTAGGAAATAACTGGAATTCGGAATTAAAAATAATGAATATTAGAAGTAGAGTATAGAGTCCATATAGAAATACTATTAGGAAATAATATAAATTTAGAATTAAAAATAAGGAATATTAGAAGTACAGTATAGAGTCCATATAGAAATACAATTAAGAAAAAAAATAGAAATTCGGAATTAAAAAATAAGGAATATTAGAAGTAGAGTATAGAGTCCATATAGGAATTTAAAACTAACTAAAATTTGGAATAAACATAATAAAATTAAAAGTTGAGTTTAGAGTTCGTATAAAAATACAATGTACAAATAACTAAAATTCGAAATTAAGAAAAACATGGGAAGAAGAGTTTAGGGTCAATATAGAAATACAAATATAGGAATACAATTTAGAAGTAACTGAAATTTGAAATTAAATTCGGAATTAAAAAATAAGGAATATTAGAAGTAGATCATAGAGTCCATATACGAATTTAAAACTAACTAAAATTTGAAATAAACATAATAAAATTAAAAGTAGAGTTTAGAGTCCGTATAAAAATACAATTTACAAATAACTAAAATTCGAAATTAAGAAAAACATGGGAAGAAGAGTTTAAGGTCAATATAGGAATACAAATTAGAAGTAACTGAAATTCGAAATTAAAATTTCAAGAATATTGAAAGATGAGTTTGGAGTCCACATAGAAATACAACTAGAAATAATAAAAATTCAGATATAAAAATAAATAATATTGTAAGAAGAGCATAGAGTCTATATAGAAATATAATTTACAGAAAATTCAGAATTAAAAAAGAAAATTTAAAAGACGAGTCTATAGTCTACATAGGAATATATACAATTTACAAATAATAGTCTATATAGGAATATATACAATTTACAAATAACTGAAAGAAGCCTCCACGTTCGCTCTCATGGCCTAGAAATTCTCACATTAATCGAAGAAAAAGAAAAAGTAGAGTCCATATAGAAATACAATTTAGAAATAGCTGAAATTAGGAATTAAAAATAAGGAATATTAGAAGAGGAGTCTAGAATCCATAAAGAAATACAATTAGGAAATAACTAAAATTCGGAATTAAAAATAAGGAATATTGGAAGTAGAGTATAGAGTTTATATAGAAATACAATTAGGAAATAACTGAAATTCGGAATTAAAAATAATGAATATTAGAAGTAGAGTATAGAGTCAATATAGAAATATATATAGGAAATAATATAAATTTGTAATTAAAAGTTAGGAATATAAGAAGTAGAGTATTGAGTCCATATAGAAATACAATTAAGAAAAAAAAGAAATTCGGAATTAAAAAAATAAAGAATATTAGAAGTAGAGTATATAGTCCATATAGGATTTTAAAACTAACTAAAATTTGGAATAAACATAATAAATTAAAAGTAGAGTTTAGAGTTCGTGTAAAAATACAATTTACAAATAACTAAAATTTGAAATTAAGAAAAACATGGGAAGAAGAGTTTAAGGTCAATATAGGAATACAAATATAGGAACACAAATATAGGAATACAATTTAGAAGTAACTGAAATTTGAAATTAAAAATTAAAGAATATTGAAAGATGCGTTTAGAGTCCACATAGAAATACAACTAGAAATAATAAAAATTCAGAAATAAAAATAAATAATATTGGAAGAAGAGCAGAAAGTCTATATAGAAATATAATTTACAGAAAATTCAGAATTAAAAAAGAAAAATTAACAGACAAGTCTATAGTCTATATAGGAATATATATAATTTACAAATAACTGAAAGGAGCCTCCACGTTCGCTCTCATGGCCTAGAAATTCTCATATTAATCGGAGAAAAAGAAAAAGTAGAGTCCATATAGAAATACAATTTAGAAATAGCTGAAATTCGGAATTAAAAATAAGGAATATTAGAAGAGGAGTCTAGAATCCATATAGAAATACAATTAGGAAATAACTAAAATTTAGAATTAAAAATAAGGAATATTGGAAATATAGTATAGAGTCTATATAGAAATACAATTAGCAAATAACTGAAATTCGGAATTAAAAATAATGAATATTAGAAGTAGAGTATAGATTCCATATAGAAATACAATTAGGAAATAATATAAATTTGTAATTAAAAATAAGGAATATTAGAAGTAGAGTATTGAGTCCATATAGAAATACAATTAAGAAAAAAAATAGAAATTCGGAACTAAAAAAAATAAGGAATATTAGAAGTAGAGTATATAGTCCATATAGGAATTTAAAACTAACTAAAATTTGGAATAAACATAATAAAATTAAAAGTAGAGTTTAGAGTTCGTGTAAAAGTACAATTTACAAATAACTAAAATTCGAAATTAAGAAAAACATGGGAAGAAGAGTTTAAGGTCAATATAGGAATACAGATATAGGAACACAAATAGGAATACAATTTAGAAGTAACTGAAATTCGAAATTAAAAATTAAAAAATATTGAAAGTTGAGTTTAGAGTCCACATAGAAATACAATTAGAAATAATAAAAATTCAGAAATAAAAATAAATAATATTGGAAGAAGAGCATAGAGTCTATATAGAAATACAATTTACAGAAAATTCGGAATTAAAAAAAAATATTAAAAGACGAGTCTAGAATCCATATAGGAATATATATAATTTACAAATAAATAAAATTTGATATTAAAAATAATTAGTAAATAACACGTATATAAAATATAATATGAAAATTCAGAAATATAAATAAATAATATTGGAAGAAGAGCATAGAGTCTATATAGAAATACAATGTACAGAAAATTCGGAATTAAAAAAAAAGAAATATTAAAAGATGAGTCTAGAGTCCTTATAGGAATATATATAATTTACAAATAACTAAATTTTGATATTAATAATAATTAATAACTAACATGTATATAAAATATAATATGAATATTACACATTAGTAGTTTTGTAAAGTTATTGCAAAATTTAAAATTATGTTGTCATTTTAATATATTTGAATAATATAATGAGAAAACATATATGCTAATATATGAGAAAAAAATATAATGATGTCGCGCAATCTGCGCGGGCCACCATGCTAGTTCTGTTTGTAATAAAATAATTATTGGTTAAATATTTAAATAGTTAAATCTCAAAATGCATGTGAATCTTATTTGACGGGATGGAGGGAGTGCTTAAAATCGAATTTGTCACAAATACGACATGTGGAAGGATTCAGAACTCTGGTTCTATACGTTCGGATCAACAAAACGCTAGATATAAAACTCTGCTTCTTTCTCAGGCAATCGCGATCTCGTCCAGACCAAGCCACAGCTTGACGCCACGATCACCATGGAAATCAAGTCAACCAATTTGACCCTCCGCGAGCTCATGCTCGCCATGGCGCCGCCGCCGCCGGCGGCGCCGCCGTGCCCCGGCCTGACGGAGCTCGCCCTCCGCGTCGCCAGGAGGATCCAGGCCGGCGGTGCCCCCGACGGCAACCTCGTCTTCTCGCCGCTGTCCGTGTACGCCGCGCTCGCGCTGGTGGCCGCGGGCGCCGGCGGCGACACGCTCGCCGAGCTCCTCGGCGTTCTCGGCGCGGGCTCCCGGGACGAGCTCGCCGGCCTCGCCGGCCGCCTCGCGGGGCGGGCGCTCGCCGACCGGTCCCGCGCCGGCGGGCCGCGCGTGTCGTTCGTGTCCGGCGTGTGGTACGACAAGACCAGGACGCTCTCGCCGTCGTTCCGCGACGCCGCCGTCCAGTCCTTCATGGCGGAGACGCGCGCCGCCGACTTCCGCGAAAAGGTGAGCACAATTACGATCTCATATTCTCATCTCCGGCGAGCTCATGCCATTGCTAACTGTGTACTAAAACCATCGCGATCTCGCCGTGTTGCTGTTGCTGGCAGCCAGGGGAGGCGGTGAACCAGATCAACGCGTGGGCGAGGAAGGCGACGAACAAGCTCATCGACACGGTCATCGACGGTGGATTGCCCGCCGACACCGACGTCGTCGTCGCCAACGCCGTCTACTTCAAGGGCAAATGGAAGGATCCCTTCACGAAGGCGTTGACCAAGACCGGCAAGTTCCACCGCCTCGACGGCGCCGCCGTCGACGCGAGCTTCATGCAGAGGGGCACCTACTACGACACGGGCGATTACATCGCCTGCCACGACGGGTTCAAGGTGCTCCGGCTGCCGTACGACGACGAACGGCGCCGCTCCCCGGCGTCGCCGCCGCCGCCGCCGTCGACGCCGCGCTTCTCGCTGTGCGTCTTCCTCCCCGACGCGCTCGACGGGCTCTGGGACCTCCTCGACGAGATCGCGTCAACCCCGGGCTTCCTCCAGGCGAAGCTGCCGACGAGGCACGCGTCCGTCGGCGAGCTCAAGCTGCCCAAGTTCAAGCTCACCTTCTCCGGCGACATCGCCGGCGTCCTCCGCGGCCTGGGCCTCGACGCCACCTTCAGCGACGGGGAGGCCGACTTCTCCAAGATGGTGGAGGACGACGGCGGCAGGCGGCCGCTGTCGATGAGGAGCCTCGTCCACAAGGCCGTGATAGAGGTGAACGAGGAAGGCACCGAGGCGGCCGCCTCCGCCATCAACATGGTGTGCGGCATGAGTATGACGCCGGAGCCACGGCCGGTGCCGGTGGACTTCGTCGCCGACCATCCTTTCGCCTTCTTCGTCATCGAGGAGACGACGGGCGCCGTCGTCTTCGCCGGCCACGTCCTTGATCCGAGCTCAACGGCCGGAGCTTTGGATGATGACGACGACGACGACGAGTTCGTCGTAATGGGATGTCTTCGCTATCTTTTGGATCGCTGCATGGCATTTGTTGGGGTTTAGAACTTGGTCACGATGCAGCGGTACAAAGATAGCTTGTACTCCCTCCGTACAACAATATAGGCATAACGTACGATTTTTTTTTATTTTTTTTCCTGTTACAGATAGATGAAAACTCACATGTCAATAAAAGCTGTGATACCAGTTGATAAGCTCACGGTTCTGATTGGTCCGATCTTTATTTGACTTGATGATAATTACCCCTCCTTCCTAAATTGATGGAATTTAAAATTTCTCAAATTGATCATCATATAACCGTGTGGACACAGATTTCATCATAATATAATTAATGCAACATGTGAGGATGTGTGTATGCTAAAGTGTAATTAGCATGATGTTTTAATCCATGCATGTATTGTGGGAGAATGTGTGCATTGTATATTGATTTATGTTATTTAAATTATCCTTGATCTTGATGCATAAACTTATATGATGATCAATTTGGAAATGAAGGAATATTTAAATGGATTGTTGACAACTCTACTACAATCGTACGAGATATTGTTGTGTTACGCCTTAACGATTGATACATCTTTTCATGGGTTATTGATCTTGCTGTTATAAATCAGCCTTGTTCTTTTTTTTTTTTGCGGGGAAATCAGCCTTGTTCTTGAAATTGAAGAAACCAGCAATAACAACCAAAAATCAATCATATATTTGCAAATACGATAAATGGGGGCTTCGTAATGAGAAAACGACGATCTAAAGAATCACGGCTTTACTCGAAAAAACAGCAATAGCTAAACTCTCTCACTAGTTGCGTAGGTTGAAAGCGCTTAAAATTGATTTAAACATGAAAATTTGAAAGTTCAAGCAAATACCCATGATAAAATTGAAAATATTTTTGAACTTTAATACAACCTGTATAAAGAGTTAAAAAACAGAAATATTATTAAGTAGTAAAATGAACCATTTTCAATAGTTTAGGGGATAAAATGAACCAAACAATTTCGGGGGTTAAGTGATCCACTAGATTAGTTTGAGGAAGGAAAAAAACGACTTATATCCCTATAGAATGTATTATATACTAAAAAGTCCATTAAACTTCCTGCAAATACTCCTAAGCCGCCACATTGCACTCCTACAGATGCTCCTATACCGTCACGTGGCACTTTCCTTTAAATTGGTGGACCCAATATTTTAAATCATTAGATTATTAATTTTCACCATTAAATCTTATCTTACAAAAAAGATCTGTACGTTCCCCCTCTCCGCGATCACAAGTTCACGTAATACGTTTTAAAACGGAAAAAAATGTGCACATGTATGTACGTACTCCCTCTCTCCCCCTAACCCTCCCCTTTTCTCCGTTTTATAATATAAGTCTTTTTAGCATTACCCACATTCATATATATGTTAATAAATCTAGACATATATATGTGAAAAAGTTATAAAAATATAGTTGTATAACTTATTGATATCTACCAATTTTATTTTGGTTATTTCTCCATCTGAGTTTGATTGACCTATATAATATATGAGTTTCAAATTCTAACAACTTCAAACAATATTTTCAAATACTTAAACGATTTCAACTGAAAAAGTCATCAACAATAAAATTGCATAAATCATCAATATCTACAACTTTTGTTTTGGTCATTTTGCTATATGACTCTGTTTCAATAATTTGAATTTGAATTTCAAATTATGACAACTTCAAACAACATTTTCAAATAATAAATGATTTCAACTGAAAAAGACATCAACATCAAAGTTGTATAACTCATCAATATCTATAACTTTTATTTTGGTCATTTTTCTATATGACTTTGTTTGAACAGTATGAATTTGAATTTCAAATTATAACAACTTCAAACAACATTTACAAGTACTAGATGATTTCAACTGAAAAAGTCATCAATAACAAAGTGGTATAACTCATCAAGATCTATAACTTTTATTTGGGTCATTTCTTCATCCGACAAAGCGATTGGTAACATTGATCACAAAATGTACACATCTCTTATTTGGTTTTGAATTATTTAATATTATATTTGTAAATTGCGACGAAATTGCTATAACGTCACAGGTTTTAGGCCGGTTTATGACGAAATCGATAAATTGTCACGGTATTATGGGCCTTGTATCCATAGTTGTATATCCGTGACGATCTCTAAAAACATCACGAAAATTTCGTCAAATTTCGTCACAGATTAAATATATTCTTGTAGTGCTATAAACATTCCTAAATCACCACATGACGCTTTAATATGTCTTAATATAAAAACATTTGAGAAAAAAATCATCTCACCCAAATCGGTGGACCTTAGTTTAAAATGTTAGATCTATATCTTAAAAATGAAACCTACCGAGCGATCAGGCCATCAAAATCCATATGTACAATACACGTATCCACTTCCCTCCTCACGGATGAGACGAACCCATCGGCTCTCGCCTCTTTTTTTTCCTTACGTCAATCAAGTTCACTACTGAATAAAAAAAACTCCTAAAAATTATCCCTGAAAAAAATATCCACCTTATTTTTTCTAATAAAAAAGGTGGGCTCATTACTTTATAGCATTAGACATCTAACGACATCTACTAACTTAATTATATCTCTAAACATATATATGAGGTCTATTTACCTATACAAATAACCTAAATCAATCAACAAAAGTACAAATAAATATGTAAATCCATCTATGAATGAAGCTCTTTCTAATTATTATGTCCGTCCTATAATGAATCCTAAAATTTTATAGTAATTAAGAAAGAATAAAAAAAACTAAGATACCCCTCACTAAATAAGGCTCATTAAATAAGGGATATGCGCAGAGTTAGAAGATGGTTAGAGTAATGAAATAATTGATGGTTGGATGTGATGAGTAGTATTTAAAATCCCTTATATCTTAGGATAAAATTTGCATCCTTCAATTTATGGATGGAGGTAATAGAAACAAATAGAAGTATATGATTATATCTTTAATTAGATGAAGAAGTCATATTATCATATTTTTAATAGGAAATTTCTTAAAATAATAATCCTAAAATCTATAAATACATCTTTAGTATACAAGAAAAAGTATTATTTAAAAGTTTAAATTAAGATGCTAATTTTTTTTAAAAAAAAACACATGTAGTATAAATGATAGTTTCATCTGAACCAGATCCATTGTTGCAACATTTTTTCTCATAAATTTAAGACGACATGATTCAATTGATTTTAGTTTACAGTTTATAACAACCTGTCCTCTAGAACACAACACATCCCAACCCATTCAACCAGCATGCCCAAATATTACCCCACTTACACTTTCGTTCGTGCTTCATATAAAATAGTCAACACGAAAATGATATGGTTAAAGAGACAATGCCTTACAAGTTGGTTGTACTCTTGCTTAACTAGCAAGATGGTTCTACTGAAGTGCACACAACGCTTATAGACAACACAAATTACATCCTTTAAATAAAACATAGGCCACATCCTAATCGAACAAGGATGTTACAGACACCCCCTCAAAGGACCTGACATCGCGTCGGTCCAACATGCGTATAGACAAATGCCTTCGGTCAAATATATATGCGTATAGAGAAATGTCCATAAGCATGTCCCCTCTTAGCACACGTCCGTACGTCGAGTGATCGAAACTAACTTTTAAAACAATCCCCAAAAAATTATTGATATACACATATTCAGAAGAGAGAATATTGTTTTTTAAAAAAGCATATATATAAACATTCGTGACAAAATTTCAAACACCACTAAATAAGATGCACGCGCATCAGTGCGGGCTATCTTGCTAGTTGAATTAAAAATTAGAGCGGATGTCAAAAAAAATTAAAGGAACCTTACTTCCGAATCACCTTCGCGATTTGTGTTTTGATGAAATCACCCTATTGCCAAATGGATAAAATCTCATTGCCACATCTGTGCAGAGGAGGAAATGGATTTTACTACCTTAAGAGGGTCTCCTCGTTATTGCATTGTCATCAAATTGTTATAAATTTAATAAAAAATTATAAAATAAATTGTGATATATTACTGTACAAACATTTGATACTACGACTGTGTGTTTAGTTCAGCGCAAAGTTTGGATTTTGGTTGAAATTGAAGATGATGTGACTGAAAAGTTGTGTGTGTATGACAGGTTAATGTGATGAAAAAGGACTGAAGTTTGGATCCAAACTTTGGATCTAAACACAGCCTACAAACAAAAGTATTTGCTGAGTGTTGACCGAATTTAGTCGAAGCAGCATCAGCTTTAGCAACAATTGCCCTTTTTTTTATTCATAGCTCTGAAGCAAATAAATTGCATCTTCTTCCACATCCAAAATCTATACCATTCAGTTTTGTACTCCTAAACATTCGTGATGATTCTTAAGAACAACTCCGACCCTCTGCCAACCAAATATTCATATATGTACAAATCCATTTTAAAATATCGGTATAAAAGCATGACAAAATCAGAGGTTTAAACTATAATTAAAGTGGACTACTACCTTAATTGTCAACCATTTTACATAATACCTGCAAATGCATTATCATCTACAGTATGATCCCTAGTACACATCAAAGATTAAAATTCAGCGAGAGTTGGCTGCAGAAATGCAGATGCAGACAGAGGCGAGAAAGCAGAATCTACTCTAAAATTCAGCAGCAGCTCTTGCTCCTGGCGCAAGCCCTCGCCGCCGGCGGCTGGCCGCGGGGGCTGCACGGCCCGGCGCCGGCGTCGGTGAGCATCTTCACCACGTCCCTCATCGTCGGCCGCCCCGCCGGCAGCTTGGCGGTGCAGAGCACGGCGACCTTGAGCACCTTGATCATGTCCTCCCTGTCCCTGGCAGCCGCCGCCGCCGACGACGACGACGGCGACGGCGCCGCCACGCGCGGGTCCAGCACGTCGTCGATGCTCTCCGCGGCGAGCTTGGTTGACAGCCAGAACACGATGTCCTTCCCCTCGCCGAACGCCGGGTCGATCGGGCTCCGGCCGGTGACGAGCTCCAGCAGCACGACGCCGAAGCTGTACACGTCCGTCTTCTCCGTCACCTTCATGGAGTAGGCGAGCTCTGCGCGGAACGTAAATTTGATTCAAAATCAGTACGAAATTTGAAACGAATAGTTCGAATTTGGGTGGAGGGGGAGGTGATGTGATTACCGGGGGCGAGGTAGCCGTGGGTTCCGGCGAAGCAGCTGAACTCGGCGGAGTCCTCGGCGGCGATCTTGGCGATGCCGAAGTCGGCGATCTTGGCCTCGTAGTCGTCGTCGAGGAGGATGTTGGTGGACTTGATGTCGCGGTGGATGATCGCCGGCGTGCAGTCGTGGTGGAGGTACATGAGCCCCTTGGCCGCGCCGAGCGCGATCTTGCACCGGCGAGCCCAGTCCAGCTCGGCGGCGGCGGCGCCGCATCCGCCGCCCTTGGCCTCTCGCCGGAGCGCCTGGTACAGGTTGCCGCGCGGCATGTACTCGTAGACGATGAAGTTGAGCTCGCCGCGGGAGAGGCAGGCGTGGAGCTTGAGGATGTTCCGGTGCCGGATCTTGCCGAGGATGGCCATCTCCGCGGCCATTACCCTCGCCGCGTCGCCCTTCCACAGCCGCTTCACCGCCACCACCGTGCCGCCGCCGCCCTTGAGCGCGAGGCGGTACACGCGCCCCGTGCCGCCCGACCCGATCAGGTTCTCCTCCCCGACGGCGCATATCTCGTCGGCGTCGAGCTCCGGCGGGTGGAACGACTCCAGCTTCCACTCCGCGCCGCACCCGCCGCCCTGCTCCATGTCCCTCTTCTTGAGCTCCTCCAGCTTGAAGCTCCGGTAGCTGACGAACAGGATGCCGACGACGAGCAGCAGCGTCGCCGACACGAGCACCGGCACGAGGACGAGCGACCTCCGCGCGAGCCCGTCGCGGCGGCCGTCCTCCACCTTGCACACGCCGAGCTCCGACCTGCCGCCGACGCAGAGCCCCGGGTTGCCCGCGAACGCCACGTCGCCGTCGATCACGAGCAGCGCCGGCGGCACGTTCCCGGTGAGCCGGTTCGACGAGAAGTCGACGGAGCTCAGCTTGAGCACCACCAGCTGCGCCGGGATCGCGCCGGTGATCGCGTTGTGCGACAGGTTCAGCGAGTTGAGCGACGACAGCGCCGACAGCGTCGCCGGGATCGGGCCCGTGAGCGCGTTCCGGGAGACGTCGATCTCGACGAGACGCGCGCAGCCGCCGATCTCGCCGGGGAGCCGGCCGGTGAGCGCGTTCTCCTCCAGGTGCAGCGCCGTCAGCTGCGACAGGCTCCCGATCTCCGGCGGTATCTCGCCGGAGAACGAGTTGTTCGACAGGTACAGCTTCTGAAGCTGCCCGAGCCGCCCGATCTCCGGCGGGATCTCGCCGTCGAGATGGTTGTTCTGCAGCCACAGCTGGTTCAAGCTCTGCGCGTCGCCGATCGCCGGCGAGATGCTTCCGGTGAACCCATTATCCGACACGTCAATGATCGTCACGGCGGGGAGACCCCACAACCCCGCCGGGAGGCTGCCGGTGAGCTTGTTCTTGTTGATCCGAAACCTCTGCAAGCTGTCGCACGACGAGTACTCGTCGGGGAGCTCGCCGGAGAAGCCGTTCTGGAGGGCGAGAAGGTACTGGAGATTCTTGCCGTCGCAGAGGTGCCTCGGGAACGGCCCGGAGAAGGCGTTCTCGGAGATGTCGACGCTGTTGAGCGGCGAGAACCGGCCGAAGTTCGCCGGGAACTCGCCGGAGAAGCGGTTCTCGTAGGCGGAGAAGCTCTTCAGCGACCTCAGCTCGCCCCACGCCGCCGGGATCTGCCCGGAGAGGTTGTTCCGGTAGAGCTGTATCACCTCGAACCCCTCGAGCGCCGCGAGCTCCGGCGGGATCCCGCCGGAGAGCTGGTTCCGGGACACGTCGATCTCCCGCAGCCCGGTCAGCCTCCCGAGCTCCGGCGGGAGCTCGCCGGTGAGGTTGTTCCCGTACAGCTCGATCTTCCACAGCTGCCGGAGGTTGCCGATCGCCGCCGGGATCACGCCGGCGAGGTTGTTCATCGACATGTCGAGCGTCTCCAGCGCGGCGAGCTCGAAGATGGATTCAGGTATCACCCCTCTCAGATTCGAGCTCGCCAAGTACAGATACGTCAAGTTCTTGAGGTTCCCGATGCTCGCCGGCGTCTCCCCGGGATCGTAGCTGTTCATCCCGACGCTGAGCGTGACGAGGCCGGAGAGGTTGCCGACCCACGCCGGGAACCTCCCGGAGAGGTCGTTGTTCGCGACGTCGATGGTGTCGAGCGCCGCCAGCGCCGACAGGTCCGGCAGCTCGCCGGCGAGGCCGTTGCAGGAGAGGTTCAGAAACCTGAGCCGGGTGCAGCTGCTCAGCTCGGCTGGCACGCTCCCCGACAGCGAGTTGGAGTCGAGCTCAAGGCGTGTCAGGGTCGTCAGCGCGGCGATCGCCGGCGATATCCTCCCGGAGAGGTTCATGCTCGACAGCGAGACGCCCGTGATGGCGCCGGTCCTCCGGTCGCACCGGACGCCGAGGAAGCGGCACGGCGAGGTGGTGTTGGTCCATGTCTGGAGATTGTTGAGAGGGTCGGTCAAGCCGGCCTTGAACTGGAGAAGTGCTTGGGTCTGAATTTGGTGGTCAGATTGGCAGCTTGAGCTGATGGAGAGTGAGAGGAGTGTGATTAGAGGGAGGCAGATCACAAGGATGTGCCTTCTCATTGCTATGGATTGTTTGTGTTGGGAAATCTGATGGCAGCAGCTTGATCACATATTCACATTGGTGTTTCAGTGTTGTCCTGGTGTCTGAAAGAAAGAGAGAAAAAAAAATAAACAAGAGATGTCACTTGTCAGTTTGGAATTCAATTTATATAGTGCTAATTAGATCAGTTAAGGTGAGTGAGAGTTCATCATTTGACATGACTGAAGGTTTTGGAAGATTCTACATAATGCCTACTACTAGTGGTGCTATTTCCTGGTGGTTCAGTACATGGAATTTCCATAATGGAGGACTAGTAAATGTTATGATGACATGGCATGCACATGATCAGCAGTATTTTTTACATGTTGTACTACTTTCTAAAAATTCAGAGTATGGTAACAAGCCAAATCAGAAAGCAGAATTCTGTCTTCAAAACAAACAACCTCAGACCTAGGAGAATTAATTAAACCTGAAGAAATTTCTCAAACCAAAAACATGTCATTATGAACTGTTGCACCATATATGTTTGTTTGCCAAAAACACGGGAGTGGATTCTAATCCCTCGAGGGGACATCCCCTCATATACATTTTTCTCTTAAATTTAACGCAAATAGTTGTGAAAAATTCTAAAAAAAATTGACAATGTAGAGTATAATGATACCTACTAGTTCACCAAAATTCATGTTCAAATTCGATCTACACATCGAGAAACAAAAAAGACAAATTTAGATATAAACAGTACACTACTATTTATACGCTGAATTTGTCTTTTTTATATCTCGACGTGTGATTTGAGTTTGGACTTAAGATTTTGTGAAGTTGTATATATGTGTTGTATGAATGTTGTCAAATTTTTCCAGAATTTTTCATAACCGTTTAGATTATTTTTGAGCAAACGAGGGAACATCCCCTCGAGGGATTAGAATAGTTTCCCCAAAAACACCTTTGAGCTCAAATCTTTATTCCCCCCCCCCCCCCCTTCATGAAATCTCACTTCAAGCAGAGTGAAAACTTCAGCTCATGCATGATCATAAGGTCAGGCTCAAACAGTGTGTAGGTGCCAATGCAAAAACTTTGTACAGCTGATATGTGATTTGGACATTTCGAAAGATGCTTTTGGTTTGTTAACCACATGTTCAGAGATCATGACCTTCCATCTACCACCTTCCATATCCCTACTCTGTTTCCCTCTTCACTACACCATCAGCAGCAAAATTGCACTAGATTGTCACCACATGGCACATGAAAGATTTTCCCACTAAATTAATCAGATAATTGGGGCATGCAAAAAAGCCAGAGCACTAGCTGCAAAATGTAATGGGGACAGATGATGAAGTGCACACGCTGGGGGGGAAGAAAAGATGGTCAAGGGGCAATTTTAGTGGGAATATACTTTACCAGTTACTATTTTAGTGAGACATCAGTGTCCAGCATGCCAAATGGCCTCAACACTTAGGTTTTGTTGGATAACAAACCCATCCTTGGAACGACACGATAGGACCAACCTGTAAAGACAAACTAATTTGTTGGCGATAGAATTCTATGCAGTTTTTGGTATTTAATCTAGTAAAACACTTTTGACCTAATTTGTTTGCCTAAGATTATCTGTGCATATGTCCTTGCTAGAAAATGCATAAATTTTCAGTTCAAACTCCATATAGGTTGATCCTCACATGATTCGTGCACGAACACTCCCAAACTTGACTACCAAACTACTACTTTTGTTGCTATGTCAAAGTATGATGATATATGTCCATCGGATAGTTGTTTAACTAATCATATGAAGCTGTCATTAATTTTCTGGTATGCATAGAAAATTGTATGGTTGTCAAAATTTCCTTTTCCATCTACAGTAGTTCAAAATTTTATATGATTATATTTTTGTTATTATTTTGTATATATGTTAATTATGATGTTCTGTCATAAATATATAGCTTATGTTTAATTATACTATACCTTGCAAAATATTTTATTACACTGAAACTAACTAAAGATTTTCAAAATATTTGAAAATTTGAAGACTGTATGCCCTATTGGACATGCTCTGTTTATGTTAACTCCCAATCGACTTCAGAGAAAACTTAATCTCATACTTATATATTTATTAACAATTTGATTTGTTACCTGATATACCGTGCAGTCTATTTATCCGACATCACTATTATTTTAAAGAGAATTTTACAAGATACCATGTTTTATAGTGTAAAGTTTGGTATCTCCCGGTACTAGTTCCTCGAGGTATCAAATATTTTAATTAGTGTAAAATTTGATACCTATAAATACTTTCTCAAAAATTGTAAAATTTTCATTTTAAATTTATTTTAAATTTTAATAGCATCTTCCACACGAGCTGTAACAACTATAAAAAGAAAGAGTTATTTTTTAATTTTAAAACTTATACTACCAATAGATATCACCATAAAAGTCTCAAATTATAAATATGACTAGATGATCCCAAAGACCACGGATCACCTAATCATGTACAAAGATTTAAATTTTGTTTGTCTTAAATATCTTACAATCTACAATCAACAAACAACTATACCTACATAAGTGTATATACACAAAAGATTGAACAAATAGAGTGGTGTTTGTAGAACCATCACTACCTACTCCTCCATTGAAAAGAGTAATATATTTGCTTCATTAAACCTGGTTCCTCATGTTTTAAGAGAAGAATTTTTTTTCTCACCATCTTTTACCAAAAACTGCAAACTTTTTGGAACCACAAATTTGTATGTATCATGAAGTTCCTTTTCACCAAAGCATAGGTGTACGATGTATCTAATCAGCAAGACACAGACATCAAAAAGCTACTGATGCCCTGTTTAGAGCTCTGTAAGATCAATTGCTATCACACGGATCAGTTCAAAACAGAGTCTTCCCACATCGGTATCACAAATCACACAAAGTTCATCAATTATCGAAGTTTCATATACTCTTTAGTTTGTACCGTCCTTTCAAAAAAACATTGAAAGGAAGATCGTCTTCATTATGGCCGGCAAACGTAGACATGTTGACAGACGACATGCATGCATTCCTTTTTTTTCAGGTTTAGAGTAACTGACATGTGGGCCCAGCAGGTATAGCTACTGCTCCTAATTTGTATAGGCAGCCCTAGTGTGTATACATCATAGTCGAAATGGAAACTTCCACCAAATACATCAACCCATAAAGGAAAAAAGCTAATTGTAAATTTGGATTGAATAGCTCAATAACCTTCTAAGGTTAAAAATTAAAATGAAAAGAAATTTTATGGTGCAATATTTTATAGTGTAAAATTTGGTATCTCAGGAATTGCTTCAACGATCGTAAAATCATTCTAAAGGTAAAGTTACAGATGACAACAATTATTTACTACCTAAGTGCATGATGACATGAACTCCATACTGAAACTGTGGACAGCTAACCATAGCAGAACTGAAAAGAACAGCTAACTATGCAATCCGAGAAAGCAATTCATCATGAACAAATTCCATGGCCAGCAGAATGCAAACAAGACAACTCAATCATAGATAACAAACCCATCAACATGAGTAGCTCAAACCAAAACAAAACAAAAAAAAAATCAGATACCTCTCAGCTTCTCCTGAAACTCCCACTCTGTTCTTCCTTCTTGACCAAACCTGCTCTTCCCAATCTCTGCTTCACTTCCCTTCTTCCAATCCTTCTCCTCACATGAACACACAAAGAGCAAAAGCAGCAGCAGCAAGAACAAGAGCAAGAACCAATGGAGCAGCAGGAAATCAACTGAAGCTAGATAAGCCTCTGAACAACTCTTCAGATAAAAGGAAGGCAGCTGGGTTTTCAGTGTGGAAGGTTCAGAGGAGAAGAGAGGAGAGAGTAGCCAAGAGTTAATAGAGCAGAGGTCCAACCTATTTGAAGTAGCCACTACTAGCATTAGCATAGGGAGGACCAGGGATCCATGCAATGTTTGTGGCTTTTCTTTAATTTTGTGGGGTGAATCAGCAAAGATGGATGGATGGGATGATGCACTGTAGAGATGATGTGCAAAGATGGTGATGGAAGGGATATGCAGGAGAGGAGGTTGTTGTTGCTTGTGGGAGTGCCGTTTGAGCTGTGGCAGCCGAGCCGGCCCCCTTTAGCTGCTGGTGGCTTGGTGAGGATTCTCTGTACCACGGCTGAGGTGGCTTGTTATTTGTGGATTATTCACCAGATTATTGAAACGGATTATTTACTTTACACTTTCAAAAAATATTTTTTTTCATTGTTTAACTGTTTGTTTTAAAATATTAGTTAACTTGATTTCCCAAAATATTAAATTTCTCCCTACAATCAAGTCGATAATCTGCGCCAATAACTGGCTCAATATTCTAAATCAGATGAGAAGACCCAGATGAAAAAAAACTATGGATTTGACTCTATGTCTTATCTGTTTTGTTATTATTTTTCTTTTGTAGTATAATATTTATTTTATTATGCAGTAAAACCCCCAAGGTAAAAGAAAAACATCGATGGATAATAGGAGCAATATGCTATAACTATATGAAAAGAATCAAATTTGGAAATTTCTATAATGAATATCACTCAAGGTTATACAATATTTTAGGAGAAGGAAATGGCGAAATTTCCGAGCGAACATTATGTCCTCAACTCAAACTCTCTCTCGCAAACCAATGTGTTGTACTTTATTACAATTTTAAAGAGTTGCGTTGACAACAAAGATATTTTTACTAAACTCTCAATGTTATAGACTCTAACACAAAAATATATAACAATGTAACATAAAACATCAACCAATTAAATAGTTTTTCTCCATGGTTGTCACACCCTAAAAATCCTAAATATATAAATTGTTGTTTAATTGGAATTATTAGAATTTATTTTAAAAGCCTAGAAGGGAAGATCAAATTTTAATTGATAAATTCCAATATAAAATGGGGCCAGATAAAATTTCATTAAATACTTTGCTTAATTCTATAATTCCTAGATTTTTCTGGGATTTATTTGAGCTAAGGAAGTATTTTTAATAAATGGAATTGCATTTCATGAATAATTTAAATTGAAAAAGGTCTTTAAAAGTCTCTTTTGGCTTTGGGCCGAAAGTCGGCCCAAAACCTTCTCTCTCTCTCCCCGGCCCAAGCCGGCCCAGTCCGCAGCCGAGCCGTCCGCTCGCGCTCGCGCGTCCACCCGCTGACAGGTGGGGCCCACCTGTCAGTCTTCGTCTTCCTCGCGCCGCTGCAGCCGCCCGAACCCTAGCGCCGCGCCGCCGTCGTCTCCTTCCAAATCCAGCCGCCCCTTTCCGTTTCCGGTGAAATTAATAGAGGGGAAATGATCCTCGGGATCCCCTCTATCTTTTCTCTTATGGAATCGTCGGCTAATTTCGTTTGGAAATCCGTGGATTCGAGTTCGAATCGGATTCGATCTCTCTCCTCCGAACCCTAAACTTTCCTTCGCGTCGCCGGTCGCCGTGGGCCTTCGCCGCCGCCTCCTTGCCCCTTTAAAAGGACCCCCAAGCCCGCCGCTACCCGCCGCCACCCTTGCTTTCGCCTCTCACCGTCGGTAGCGTCCTAGCACCGTGAGACCTCGCGCCGCCGTCGTCGCCGCCGCTCCAGCCGTGCGTTGCCGTCGCTCCAGTCGTCGCCGTCGCTCGGGAAGGCCGCCGTCGTGGTCGCCGTCGCGTCGCCGTCCTCGTCCGCCCCTCCATCGTTGCTGTAGACCGCCGGAGCACCGCCGTCGTCGTCAAGCCGATCTTCTCCGCCGTCTTTTCCTCGACGCCGCCGCCGTCTGTTGATCTTCCGCCGCCGTTTTGGTCACCGGTGAGTTCGCCGCGTCGTTCTCTACGTGCTGGTGCCCTCCGTTCGCGTCGTCGCGCCGTCGTTCGCCGGCGAGCTTGTGTGCCCAAGCCGCCGCTGGTGGTAACGTCACCGCTGACGTCATCGTTGCCGTCCGCCGTGGCCCGGTCGTGGACCGATGGATCTTGGCCGTCCGTTTTGGATAGGATTGATCTCGGCCGTTCGTTTCCGTGAGCCGCCGCCGTGCACCCGGTCCACCGCGAACCCTAGCCGCTGACGCAATAATTCCCTTTTCCTTTTCAAAAATAATTCATTATTGCGTCATAATTCAATTAAAATCCATATAAGTGTTTTCATCCGATTTAATCTTTAAAAATTCATAACTAATTCATCTTAGCTCGGATTTAGTTGGTTCAAGTCTCTAAATTTTTCTAAAATTGAGATCTACATGTTAAAAATATCCACATGTACTGTTCATACTTGTTTATGTGCTGTTTTGGTGTTTTTGCTCTTTTCTGTTTAGATTCCGACGTTTCCGGAGAGTTCGTTTTCGCAGGAGAAGAATTTGAAGAGTTCCAAGGCCAGCAAGGCAAGTCACACAGATCCCAAACAACCCTTTGAGCATGTTGATCCCGTTTAAAGCTATTGTTTCTATTCAACTATTGCATTTATTTTCGAATGTCATTGGGTGGAATTAACCTATTGTTTGTTATAGCCCTTTTGTTCTTGATTACTTTATTCCTTGATACCTTGGGTTATTATAACTTGACTAGTTGGGCTATATATATTGGTTCAGCTAGATATTAGATATGATTGCTTAGCCATACTTAGAAACATTAGCACACTATTGGGATAACTTATGACTCATTATTATTTAATGATGGCTTAATGATAGTTCACGATGGTCAATCGTGATTGGTTAATTAATTACTTGCCGACTAAAACCTGATAATGGTAGGTTGTGAGCACATGGTTTTGATGGTCGTGCTCATGACAATTAAGGACCGGTTCACGAGTTTCGGTTGTGAAATATTAACCGTGCCAACCACAAGCCAGCGTGGGCAACGGCTTTACCTTTTGTATAGCATGGTTCATTGCGGAGCACCAGACTGAGAAGTGGCGGAGATAAGCCCACGGGGGTCGCTGGGGAGTCCATGCCTTGTTTAAAAGGGGGTGATTATGATCCAGGAAAGGTGCGCTGTGGTGGATTGTGTTGTGCGAGGGGTACTGTCACAGCTCCTTTCCGAGGTACCGTGGTGGTATTGAGGCACATGGTGACATGTTGTGGGGCTGTGTCTTGTGGGTACAGTGGTACATCTCTGCCCAGAGTAAAACTATTCGAATAGCCGTGCCCGCGGTTATGGGCGGGTCTAACAATGTCTTTCGTGATTAGTGTCACACCTCTCACCATAATAACATAATAAAAGATGCTATAACTGGTAATAATTTGTTTAGCTCCTGGTTTGGAATGGTATATTCCTGGTTTGGAGATAGATCTGTACAGCCGGGTATGGTTGTTCATGATGGTTGGGCCTGAGCAGCATGGGTGTGCTGTTTAGTGTTGATTAAAATTGATAATTAATTACTCTACTGTTTTATAATTCTCAAATGTTTGCTAAATGCTGCTTTTGCAAATGAGCCCTACTATGCCATCCTTTGTTATCTTGTGCACTTGCATATTTGCTGCGTGGCTTGCTGAGTATGTCATATACTCACCTTGCAATCATTCATCAGAGGAAGAGTTCTACAGTGATGCTGATGGTGTGGAGGATTAGGTGTAGCCCTGGTCAAGTTGCCTGTGGAGTGGAGTCGTCTGCGCCGTTTATCTTAATTTTCCGCTGCTTAGATCTTTATTGATTGAGAGGAACTATCTACTTCTGTAATGACATTTTATTCGCTTATTAATTAGAGTAATAATTGTACTCTATTATCAATTTGTTATTGTGTGCCTCGGCTGATTCCTGGACGAGGGTTCACGCACATGTAAGCGTTTAGAATTTTGGATAGAAATTCCGGGCGTGACAATGGTACTCTGTCTTATTTGATGAGTATATCGTCGATAATTGATTGTACCCGAAACCGACACAGGTGACCAAGTAGAGTATTCTAGGGCGGGTGCCCACAGAGGATCCTGCCAGAACATTGCCACTCGCTGAGTAAGCCTGTTCATTGTGTCCATAGGCTCTTGTGTGTCACGTGCGGATGGGGAATTAAGCTGAGCGCGTAGGCGCCGAACACGACGAAAAACTTAATATAAAGCTCATCTCTTCCTTTAATCACATGAAACGGCAGGCTTAGGCTCTTACTTACGTACATTGTTATTGTTAGCTGCACATAAAAAGTCCCTGCACCAGTTGATAAGTTATACATAACGATGTTTCAGCAAGACTTTGAACTTAATTTGCCCGTTTCAGCAAGGCAGATCAACCATTATTCTTTTTTTAGGAATGGCGTGATTTATTGATTTTGTAATAGAAGTACAATCTTGTTGTAGTAATTGCAAAACACAAGTCGGAGCATGATCATGCTAAACTACGCAATGAGCCACCCGTTTTGTAAACTGAGCAAGTTTTATGAGCTACCCTTTTTTAATTCATTTTATTATGCAAAAATGCACACCTCTTATAGATGCTTCATAGTCGTCTTGATCTCTCGTAGCAGGAAGGTCCATCGTGATCCGTGTCCTCCCCCTGGTTGTCAGTCTTGCTACCGCCATGGTACAATCGGTTTCTAGCACAACCGGCATATGCACCCACTCAGCGGCGAAAACTTAATACAAATTGAGTAATTTTCACAAAACTACATATACTATGACTAAATTATCGCAAAACTACAGATTTAACTCGGTGTATCACAAAACTACACATTAACACCAAATTTATCACAAAACTACACATTTAAGATGAAGTGTCACAAAACTACATATTTAGTAACTAAATTATCACAAAACTACAGGTTTAGAATCAATTTAATCACAAAGTAATGATGTTTATAGCTCCACCATAACAATGGTGCTAGGGATTTAAACTCCAAAAGTTGTAGTTTTGTGATAAGTTCAATATTAAATATGCATTTTTATGATACTTAATCTAAAATATGTATTTTTGTGATAAATTTGATGCTAAATATGTAGTTTTGTGATACAGCTCCTTAAATCTGTAGTTTTGTGATAATTTAGTCAAAATACATGTAGTTTTGTGAAATTTACTCATACAAATTTAATCAAACCCTCACAACACGCTAGCAGCAAGACTTTGAGAAGTCCTGCAC